ACGAAAGATCCATCTGATTCTATAAAAACCAGGTTTGGAGTGAATCAAATAACTATGTTTTATGTGACTTGCGGATGTATATTTCTCAATAACACGGACATGTTGCCAGAGGTGATAATAAGGCAACGTTTTGGTTGCCGCAGATGTCTGATTTCAAGGCATCTATTTAATCAAAATATACAAGGAGAGTATTCTGCTAACTTATGTCGAAATTTCACTCTTTATTTGTGTCCGTCAATTGCCGAGCTCCGGTGACGCACATCTTCGTTCGTATCGCTTCTGTTCCTTGAAGCAAGGTTATCTGAAATTACCGACGTATGGAGTCGCTTATCGAACTTGGATTTTCGCTCCGTCCAAATTCTTGAGATCTGTAGTTCATCATTCTGGTCTATTTACACGAAATGAACTCCAGCTACTGAAGCCGCAGAATAAGCGCGTTCATTTTTTTTCGGAATCCTAGTTGGGTGTCATTCGTTTCATTGTTATTATTCCGGTATCCTCCAGCTACAGCGTCAGTATTATCGTCGAATCCCTTTCAATTTGTCAATGGTATTCTGTATGTTGGTTTGGCATTTTTCTTTCGTTGAGCGTCTTGTGATCCCGAATGAGGTTGTCTGCATACTTGTCCCATGTGGGGCATTCTGCCCACCTTATCGGATAAATGCGGCGCTTTGATTCCATGTGTACCAGGCACTGTCGCGATTTGTTTACCACGGTTGACTGATGTCCGGGGTAAGAGTGATCTATAGTAAAGTAGATCAAACCACCGAAGCGGATTCACTCTTTCTGAGATTTGTTTCAATTACCAATTATTCAACTTCAGTGGGAAATGTGCTGCACGATTACTCCAATGTTTCATATAGTCTTGTTCGACTCACCCATTATCTCAAACATCTAAATTCTCTCTGACCCTCTCAGTGATCTAAATGGATTATTTTTCACGATTTGCGCAATTTGGAACCTTCAACCTGACACGAAACTGTCTGACACTGACCCGTGATGTTTGTGATGCTCTTTAGGTCACCCGTAATCCAGCAGTGTGAATATGGTACTCCTGCTGTGCACAATCGAAGTTCTCTTGACAGGCCACAGGTTTAAGGCTGGGGGCAAGACGTGAGCTCTCGATCGGGTTGGGTGGGCAAGCATCACGCCGCTTGCTGCAACCGAACCGTGTGACTGTCGACCCACACAGGAGGATGGGTTGAGTTCTATGCTGCTTAAGCGTTGACAGAGAATCACCAGAGGAGACTCACCGATGGAGTAATGCGGCTTTCGGACGATTCGAGATGAAAAAATTTTATGCGCTGATGACATTACGCCAACACAAGACTGATCTAAAATACAGGCCTTATTTAACTAATCATCGGAAAGTTCGATGACACATAGATTGATTACGTACTTAAACTTTATCGCTAATTTCTCAGAAGATTCCCTTTGGCTCTTTTTTCCGACCATTTACCGGACTGTAAAATTTCCATCAACTAAAACCAATCATTCCGGGTGAGAGCAGCTGCTGATTTGCTAGCCAATAGGCTTTACAAACTGGACTTGCGTAAAGAACATTATTGCTAGTCTTCAACTTCAGGTGAATCTACGGAGAATTCGACACAGTGATTCGCGCTTTAGCCGTCACACGCCAGCGATTGGGCCGGAGGCATCAAAACTCCGGCCAGTCGGAATGCAGTGATCTCTCCATAGACAAACAAAAGTACATTTTGAGTGGCCAACCGAGCGAGGATGAAAGTTTCGGTGGGGTGGAGGTTGATCGTTCGTTCCCCGCTCCATCGGGGAACATTAGTTCCTTGACCATTGATCGGGTGAGCTTCAGAAAAGAGTGAACGAATCCGGGTAATGAAGAGAATCACGTCAAATCAGGCGTGAATAGTGGAATGAATATGTTAGGTGAAAAGACTATTTTTACCTAAAACTGACTATTTTCGAGTATTTTCAATTAGGAGCATCTCTAATCAATACTAATCTCGCGGAGATTAATCAATGATACTGCGTCATACGGAAACATTCACTCCGTCCGTCTGATCCGTGACCTATGAGCGATTGAACTTNGCTAACTGTGTACTTGATTGGCACAATCTTTTTTTTTGCATTAATCGATGCTATTTTGAGTCACATATAAGCATCAGAGTAAAACTTGTAAATTGACTTGCTTCCTGTGTCAAGTACACGTTCGCTGTGCACTAACTGCGTTCTTGCTTACGTAGGTGGGAGAAGGCTACTAGTGTTCGTGGCGTCCAAACTGTGCTGCGATCGTACTCGTGAGGCTAGACGACTAGTGTGGCCGTTGAGGTATGTGTGCTCCTTGTGTGTCATCGTGTGATATCTTGCTGTGTGCATTGTGATCAATCGGGATTCGGACACAACAGAATCACTGTATTTAACAGCCTTGTGTGTGAATTCCATTGAGACTACGATTCCTTCGAACAGCACTGGTCGCTTTGACCCACTTAAAATTACTTAAATACCTGTGGCATTGAAAGTAGCGCTTGGAGAGTGACTTAACAATGGCACAAGAATACAGTGACAACATTTTAAGTGGAATAGCAAGACCAATTTAAAGTTCATTCACTAGCTGACAGAAATTACATTTTTTCCTCTGTAACTCCCGGATTGACAATTTCGTTCTAACCACAATTTCAATGGTAACAACCTGTCAGTTTTTCCCCCTTTGTTATTCAGCTTCCTCGTGTGGTTTCTTATGCTTGTTATATCACTTATCGGTCTCATCAAATCTTTGGATAGCAAATGCTATAGTTTTGTGATTAAGAAATGTAATGATGAGAATAATTCACAGCTATTCACGATTTTATGGAAGACGATAGCTGTTTCCTGGGTGCTCCATGGAGTATAGAATGGAGTTAAGTACAGCATTTGACCAACGATTGCCATAATATTGATCAGTGACTTTATCCCACGTGAGGAAGAGTTACATCCATGGAAGAACTCATTAAGTTCCTTGGGATAAAATTGTTTTTGTTGGATAGATGCATTCCAATTTTGATCTCTCAGCTAAAATTTATCACACAGATACTGCATCTATCGCCAAGACCCAGATTAGCTACAGTACTTTTTCCAACGCGTATCATCCTCAAGGGAGAACACATGTTAGGAAAGAAGCTTATTTTTCGTGGTACAATAACAGGCTGAATAGAACACACAGTGTCACAGATATGCACAACCCTTGCAATCGGATTAACAAGACAATGTAGTGGAAGTTGAAGATCGTTTTACAATAGAGCATCCAAAATCACATTTACTTTCGATAATCAATAAACTCTAGTTATGCACTAAGCTTGAGGAAAAGTTTGGTAGTTCTATTTTAAAACGATCTTCAACTTCCACTACATTGTCTTGTTAATC